CCCACAGATCTATCCTGGGAGGATGGGTCTGGCCCAGGGTGAATTTAACACCCTGTAATAGAGGTAAATTTCAAGCCCTGAATCCACAAAGAGATTTTAGGCTTTGCAACAATGTAAAAGAATCTACATATTTTTACTATTGCAACAAACAGAACTAGGAGTTCTCTCAAGATTCACCTAATAAGCTTTAATTAGACTTAATGTAATGTGACCATCAATCTTACTAACAGAAACTGCTAAAATTTTAAAAGAACTACACATACATATTTAAATTTTATGAATTAGTCTGTGAAATTAGAGACAAAGTATTTGCAATTCACAAAGTAACTTTCTAGTAAGAACTTACAGTTCATATTGGCCAACTCCTCCATGATCCATGCTTTCACTTAACTGACCCTAAGAAAAAAAAGAATGCTTATAATTATAAAATTGTTTTTTTAAAGCAGGACAATGGTATTTTGCTACTGATATTTTGTTTAACAATACAAAAACAAACTCACAGGGGTTCAGTTTTTTAAAATGTAAAATTTTAATGAAACTAGTCTAGAAATCATGTGCAACCAATTAACAGCAGACAACAGCAAATTGATGGGCTTTGAAAAGACTTCATGAAAATTTGCATAAAAGTTGCAAAATTCCCAAGAATCACACAAAGGCAGAGGGATCCACTACTTCTTAGCTGACTGCACTGTTAGCTGATTGTCAGAACTTGTAGAAACAAGCTTAACACCAGACAAACTGCAAAAATGCTATTGTATTGCAATTTTCACACCTGTTTTCACATAAGACTTTAAAGTTCCTTTTTCATAATTATGCAAATTAAAGCTATTACTGAAAAGATTATATGAATCCCACTTCACCTAGTCACAAACTAGAAGCACAGAGAGACTGAGGGTTTATTACTGTATACTGTAAATAAGCCAACACCTTTCTAACAAGGTAATTAAGCATTAGTCCCATGCTAAAGGCTCTTATGGACCATAATTGCACAAGATGCACTAATAGATGCCAGCGTTAATTATGAAGGTTCAGTCATTTTGATATAAAAAGGAACTATTTGCCCTAAAATATATAGTTTAGTTTTGAAAAGTTGATTCGTTTCTTTTCCTTCCCTCTTTTTTTTTTAGTTTCAATTTGTTTCATTATGAAAGGAAGGAAAATATTTTCCCTGTCTATGAAGGCAGCCTAAACAGTGAAAACACAGATTAGCCAGAGCGCCACAACTATTGCAAACAATTCTCTGGGAAAGCTTTCCAGTACATTTTTGTATATATAGTTGCCCAATATCTAGTTAAAATATCCCCTTTAAAGAAATCAGCTTTTGGTAGAACCAAATGACTTGGGAAAGTGGGAACAGATCAAATGAATGACTTGTGAAATTTCATGGGAGCAAGGGGGGGAAGTCACACAGAAGCCTGAGAACTGCAGACTAAACTAAACAGTACTTTTTAAATTATTCCATAAGTGATCACCTAAGCCAAGGAAAAGTATAAGCTCTAAACAGTTTCCAACTCAGGTAAACACCCTGGTAAACAGAGAAAAGTCGATTTTGCAGGGAATGCACTGAGGGGGAATACAACTCCTGAACTCACAAAAATCACTAATTGTGGAGTCATGCTTTAAGTCAAGTGTATTTGCAGCTATTTGACAATTAGTGGGAAAAGCCCAGTTCATAGATGTCCACTTTATAAGAAAAAGCACTGCAATTAGCTCTATAATTACAAACCCAGATTGGCTGTTCATTGAGAATGAACTCCCTACTTCTCCTTAAAGGTTCTCTCCTTAAAACAGAGCTAACTCACTCATTCTTGCAAAGCTTGCACTCCTGTCAACCGTAACTGCTCTCATTCTATGAACAGACGCATTCATTTTCCAAGTCTTATTTTTACTTGCATCAAGTTCACTTTTTAAAACAGATTTTTAAAAATCACACTGTTCATCCTGGAAGCTAGTCTGTAAATACATCATGCATCTTCCCTTCTCTTGTCATCTCATACAGACAAGAGTTTGAGAACCAATTGTGTCCCCCCTGGGTGGCTACTCTTTGGAAACTGGAAACTATTTCTTACATGCAAACTCTCCAGTCAAAAGGTCTCACGTTTCATTTCTGAGGATTGTCATGTCCGTATGCAACACCTGTAACTGCAGCTGTTCTTGCTGCTGCTGCCAGTACAGCTTCCAGGAGTAAAAATGCTCTATGTACAGGACTGTCTAGTTTTATTTTCAGCATTACTGACATTCCCCCAAACAGTGAGTACGGGTATGTGTCATGAACTTGGGAGTCCCACAGAACTCTTAGTTTGTCCATCCTGTCTGAGAGCTGTTTGGGCCCTCACCACTACTACCAACTGTGCGCTGCAAATATTCCTCCTGCACAAGCGATAGACTACAGTCACAGCAGTCTACCAACGACTGTTTAATCCACTGAAGTTAATTCTTGCGGATTCTAGGGCAGGAATTTGTTCCTTCTCATGGCTCATCAAAATCTGTTTTGGCAGCCTTCAGGGCGTGATGCAAGGGACATTTTTGCCAGGCATTTTATTGACTACTGATGTACAAGCCCAGGGTTTCTTCCTGCAGACTGCAAGTTATGTTGCCTTCAGTGGACAAGCAAAATTGTGTCTTTTTCTTAAAATCTCTTAAGAGCAAGGGTGTTCAACCCCTAGCCTGCACAGCCATGCCATCTGGCCCACAGGGGTTCCCAGGGGTCCAAAACTTTGGCAGTGGGAGTGCAGTGGCACCAACTGTCACTCCCCTTCTGCCAATTTCCAGACCCCTGGAGAGCTTCATGCACTGCACAGCATGCTGGATCGGTGCACAGAGGTGGCCTAGGGCCTGATCTGGGCACACTGGGGCCTGATGGAGGTGGTGTGGGGCCTCAATCTGGGGCTAAGCAGAGGCAGTGTGGAGCCTGATCTGGCTCATGAATGGGCCCCTTGCCACTCATCTGGCCCGTGGCCCCGAAAGATTGAGCACCACTGCGTTACAGCAACCAGAGGCAGTGATGGCCTCCAAATAACCCAAATGAATACTAGTAAGAAAAAGGTTTTACATCACACTGAAGACAGAAGATTGAGCTCGGCTTCCCGCAGGCTAAATACTAGGAGCTCAGCAAAAAAAAGGCACTTTCACTAGTATATTGAAGAGACTGTACCCTTGGTTACTCTTCTGTGCCTACTATTCCCTAGATTTGGAGGAGACTGGAAGCTCAGGGAAGACTGACTTCCCATGTGTAAACTCTTTCAACATGCGCAAGGAAATGTTTATGTCCTACATCAGACTGTTACAACAGTCTATTAACTAACTAACTACAAAAAAAAAATCAATCAATCTCTGAGCCAGAGTAAAACAGGTGCTTTATTCAACTTGACGGCGCACAGCGGCAAAAAGATCATTACTGCTAAACAGCCAGCCAGCCAGCAAGGACAGTAGGTAACCTGCTATGTTATCAAGGCAGCAACCAAGTTTGGTACCTTGTAACTAGCAAGAAAAGCTTAAAAAAAAAAAATTAAAATGCATGCGTATATTTAGCACGTATGACGCCATTTGTCACAAAACCACACGGAGCGAGGGCGCAGAGTAAAACAGACTGAAGTTACATCCCTAGCTCCAAACCAGTCTGGGGGCACTGTCATGCGTTACGTCTGCAAGTTTGTAGATAGCCTCCCACCCCACGTGTTACAAACAGGGGGATGTTTTAAACGCCCTATAAAGACATCCGAATAGCACCTAGAAAAACCGACGAGGAGGGCACAGTTCCCTAACCCTCTCATCGCCCCC